TATCATTTTATGGTTATGAAAACATTAAAGTGATAACATGGAAGTACGATATAACAGTAACATATTTGTTGAAAATTGCAGGTTGATTGTAGGATTCATTACATTTTGAACAAATCTAAAATAACATAATAACTGCTTTATCATTTGCAAAACGTGCTAGCGCACATGAAGTTGAAGTAATAGGACTTAATGGAAAGTTTTTGTAGCAGTATTGATCTGGGTAACAGTGCAAGCAGACAAATTTTGATTCTAAAGAGTAGCATAGTGTTGTTTAGAATGAAATATTAAAACTAAGTCAGGTAAATCAAGTTATTGTGTGGCATGATTTGATGTAATGTTCACCGATTTGATGTAAAAATAGCTTTAAAACTTTGCAATGGTTTGTCAAAATATTAAACCTGTAGTTTTAATGTAATAAAAAGTTTTAATCCATATCTAGCATATACAAACTTGCAGTCTGAATAACCATTTTTCACATCTTTGATAGATAAAATATAACTACACCTATTTTGAATTCTTTAAGTTCCTGAAAAAAAGTTTGTCGTACTTTTAATCTGATCAATTTGAATACTCATTATGTAGTCTATGGCTTGTTCAAAATTTTTCTCAGTTGACTTTGAACATATATGATGGCTTCCATGTTGTCTTTTATACCTGTCATTCTATGATTTGCTGTTTGCATGTATGAATCAAGATGATCCTCGTGTTGGCTTAAGGCCTTTGAAAGGTTAACACTCATTTTTGTTAGTTAATTAATATGCTTCGCAAGCTTATTAATGTCATCAGTTGTAACATTTCCAAAAAGACTATTTTCCTTATTTCATCCAGAAAAGGAAATAATGACATTTTGCTTTCCAGGTTTGTGAACCTTACTTTCAGGTATGAGATCCATAATAGTATTTATTGTGTTGTTAAGCTTGGAAGCCGTTTCCGCATGCACTGAATTTAGTTGAGTCAAAATATGGGAGATGAGAAGGCAAGAATTATTTCCAGTCTGACATTCTTGTAAACTTGGTACATCAATTGAATCCGGATATTCTCTACCTTTTGATATGTTTTTTGAACTTTTTTTAAGCCAAGTACAAAATTTTTTATTTTTATGTTTTGAAAAATCAATACAAAATTCTTTTATTTTCTGTTCCATATCATCTCACCAATCAACAGTAATATCATTAGTTCTTGATATAATATGCCAAAAATTTTCAAAACCAAACATAAAGTCATCATCATCTAAAATAGAATTATTAAATTTCCAGTACGATTTACCAAATAAAATAATGTTATTTATATTAAGTTGTAAATACATATATAAGATCATGATCAGATAAAGTACACGGTAATATGTCATATTTCTTTTATGTTATTGAGAAGAAGGGAACATATATATATTCTATCTTGTCTACAACCGACAAAACCATTATAACATTTTCTATACCAAGTTAATGCCCCTTTTTAGGGAGACATTTTCTGTAGCAGTCTACTTACTTGAACTCAATAACCGTTGAAAATACCTTTGACCCTGTGTGACCTTTATCTAAATTACCCAAAATTTTATACAATTTGATATCAAAAACAAAATTCATGTCCACTAATAAAATTATGTGTTTAGATGTTACAAGGTGACATTTTAAAGATTTAAAAAAATTATTTCGTTCCGATTCATCAGTAGGTGAATAAATATTAAAATTCTAAAAAAAATTGTCAAAATAATTAATGTCTGCATATACAAATCTACCATCAGAATTCGTCTCAAACTTTTCAGATTTGAAAGAAGAATTTACTTAACCATTTCTTCTTTTAAAGCCATAACTCCACAAAATTTTATAATTAAGTTCTCTTCACATAATTTAGCGTTATAAAATGAATCTATGAAAGTTTCCTGAATACATAATACATCAATTTTGTTACTTGATATATAATCGTTTACATACATTTGTCTTTCTTTTGATTTTAATCCATTTATATTTATGGAATATATATTTAAATTAGCCATAATTGTAAAAGGTTAAAAACAAAAATAGAGCAAAAATTAAAGGACTATCAATGTGTGTAATGACTACGACATGTAAGTTTACTCGAAAAAGGTAGAACACGGAACAGTAAAGTATAGTATGTACACTAGTTACATTTAAAAGTTCAAAGTTCATACACACATAACAGTTCAAAGTTGAGTGTATCGGCAGATAGTAAATTTTATCCGATAACAAAAATAATATAGATTTATAAAACCAAATACAGCGATAGCGAGTGTATATAAGACTACAATATCGGTCTAATATATTGAACAAAAGAAAGCTATATAGGCAGTTTATCAGTAAAAGTTTAAAGTTCATATAAAAGGTCAGAGTTGAAAAAATTATAAACTGATAACGAGTGTATTTAAACTCTAAATATCGGCGAAATAAAATATAGTTAGACCACAGCTGTTTTCTCTCGGCCAATCAGAGAGGCTAAAAAGTGTTTGATATATCCCACACATCACAGTAAAGTGTTTAATATAACTATCATGTTTGTATTCAACTGAAAGGAAAAACCCGTTATGTGCACGCTTTATGAGGGGAAAATTTCTATGTATATTGTAAAGTAAACAGTGTAATTCCCTTCTTAAAAAAACAAACAGATAGCAATAGTCCTTTGACCAATTTATTTCGACATTTCATCATTTTACAAGAATAATTACTGTATTTGTATATAAGAAAAAACTAGCAATAATGACGTGAAATGCGTTTATCTATGTATTTAACTCTATATATGTATCTAACTTTTACGACGGCTTTTGTGCAAATATTTTCAGGCACTGTGATTTCAATAATCGCATCCTGAATTATGCCCGGCTCACTCTTAATAGCAGACACTGTAGATGTACATTCATTTACTGGTTAGGGAAGTGGGGATTCCACTGGTGGGGAAGGGGCTGGAGTTTCCGAACGGTGACCGGGCTGCGCTTACAACGCTAAGGAAATTCTATGCTTTAAGGCTTCAGAGGGACGTTTGTAATATTTTTTTCAGTTCATGAATGAAGTAAAGTAGTCAATGCAGGGTGTATATAAAGCATACAATAAATAAACGAATCTATACGTCAAGTAAGATATTTTCAACTTCAGCCGAACAACCAATAAATATCCTGAACCCTAGTGTTGTTTAAGCATTAAGGAAAACGTTTAATGAAAGTTACCTGCCCGTTTCTCCAACGAGCCCACTCTTGATAAGTAGCAATCGCCCATGATTTCTGTCTAAGAGTATATTTCGGTAAGCAGTCTTGCTTCCAAGCGCTGTGTACGGTGTTATGCCATCATTTAAATGAGGAACCAATAGGAATAACAACAAAAATATCCCAAGTTTCGAAACTATAATGTTATAACATTCAGTTATCACATTCAGAAATGTTAAAGTCTTCCCAATTTTCTTCTGACTGCACCTTTGCGATAGAATGTCAAATCTATCTATCATTCAATAGATTGTATATTCAGTAACTTATGAAAGAACATGAATTATGCCATTTTCTCGTGCATTTTTTGCCTACAATAGGGCCATATAGATTGAATAAGAAATATTTGGATATCCCTATGTAACTGTCGGAGAAAAAAAACGTTTACGCATGTTTAATCTTCACCTTAAACAGAGAAAACTACCTGTGGTCTAAGTCAGATAGATCGCTCGTGTTTATCTCAATGTCAGAGTTTAAATGAAAGGTTAAAGTTAAAACATAAGATTTATCGGCCTTGAAAACAACATTTAAGACTACAACTTTTTTAAATAACAAAGATGTTATTACAAACGACATAACAATAAAATCATAACTAAATCTTACGCTCAAAAAGGAAAAGAAAAACATATGTCTGAGTTTCTTTATAGTATAAAGACGTCAGATTATAACAGCCATGACTGACAGTTTTAATGAACAACATTATCTGGTGTATCTTTCGGAGTAAGACCATTCAGAACAGAAAAAGAATTGCTTGTTGTTACCGGAGGGACATGGTCAGACTTAGGCGATGAACCCCGGGAACTCCAAGATCCTCTACGTTCTTGCGGGGGAAAAGCTTCCCTAAAAGAATCCTCACCTGTTGCAGAGCCCTCTTTTTCTCTTTTCTCCCCTCTAGTCTCCAGATCATATCATCTTCTTGTTCATCATCCTCATCGTCGTGGTCCACATCACACTCACTCTCAAAGTTAGCAGAAATGTCCGTCTTGGATCCATCCTCCTCATCTTCATCTCGGACTTTATCAATATTCGTGACATCCATTGGAGCTGACGTCTCGCCTATCTCCCCAACATCCGTCACATCCGGGTTAGCAGGGGTGCGCTTCTCCTGAAAATTTCTCGCAGTAACATTAGAAAATGAACCATCAACGCAATTCCTCTGAAGATGCCCTACTTGGGAACATCTCAAGCAAAGTGGAGGTCTCCCAAATATTGTTATCAATATAGCCAGTCCATCTTCAAATTTAAGTAAATGGGGAATTGATTGACGTTCAACCTGAGTTACTTCTAAAGTAGCTTCCCTAATACCATTTACTATATTCACTCCTTTATTAAAAAATGATAACCTCTTTATGTCAATAATTTTCCCATAGGCACCCAGAAATTCATGTATATCTGTATCATTGATGTAAAGTGGCATCCAATGAAGTCGCAGCTTAACAATCTGCTTCCCCAATACAACTAAATGCACGGGGTTACCATTAAAATTAAGAGCTTTACCTCTAAGAAGGTTTACATTTCCAGCGTCAAAAAAGGTCACAACATATCCGTAGTCTCCTGGTCTACCCATCGAAATCGACTCCACATCCTTCTCAGCAATACCCGCACTGTTCAGCATCTTAAAAATATCCACCATACTGAGCCCTCTTGCTGTCACCTTCACCGTCCGATTGACTGCACCTGCATTAAAATGCGTCTTTGAGATAGAACGTAGTTGAACAATAGCTGCCATAATCTTTAACTACGGCGAAGGATTTATTCCTGGGTATGAAGTGAAACCAGAGTTGGTCTGATTGTCGTTTTTCAGACTTGATGGTAGCGATGACCAATATCAAGCTGGCTTAGGATAGTCTGGCTCCACCCAATATATTTCTTTCCGCAAGTAAGACACTCTAGATATTCTGTAGCAAGTATGTAATAGTCACAGATATCTAGAACTTGTCCTACTCTTGGGTAGAGACCTGCATGCGTAAGCTGTCTTCTACGGCAGTCGGTATTAAGACAAACCAGCTGTACCTTCCACAGTCTTTTCGGCATCCAGACTAACAGACGGGTACTGAAGTACCTATCCACTCGAGGTTTCTGTGTGTATGTGAGAGACGGCTGAGGTGGATACATCCAAAGTTGAAGATTGTCCGTCTTTAGCTCAATCTTCTTCTCCGCCATACTCTTAGCCGGGTACCTAAATAGCGCCTTGGAAATCCAGGCATGGTCTGCTAATGCCAATGTGTCACGCCAACCATCAGGCTTGGGATTTTCTAAAATCACGAAATATCACGTAAATGCTCAAAATAAAATTTGTTTGTTCAAATATAAACTATTGTAGATCTATATTTTTGCAATAATATTAACTGTAACATAACACCTTGCGGTATACCGAAAGATATAAATAATGATATCTGTACTTGAAAATGGTTTCATTCCAGGAAAATATAAGTTATAAACTTAACTCACAGTTAAATATCAATGATTAGTATGGCTATTTTTTAGTTTACAACATCTTGAAATCTTTGTGTTAAAATTATCAGTGAGCTAAAGGCATTAATTAACCATTTAAATTAGCATTGTCTGCATCCCTAATAATAATTTAAAAAAAAATTTTTTAATCAACATATATTATCAGTAGCAGATTTTAAGTATCTTTCCAATTTGTAATAGCTAAAAACTTTTAACTAACATACTAATTAAGTTGGTCAGTCCCCCAAAGAAATGATATTGTGCCATAGAATGTTTATTTACAATTAAAATCAATAACTGGGAAGCATCTGGACAAAAATTTGTCTTAATAAGAGTAAACGCAAAAAAAATACAGTTTAAAATATATACATACCTGGCTGCACTGAAAAAATTGACCTCAGCTGAGACAACGTCTTTATAGTTACCGGTTCTTTAAGAGGAGATGACAACGGCTGGGTACACTTCTGGTTATTTTCGGATGTTGACTGTTCGGGATCCAGTGTTGACTCTATTGTATTACCGATTTCAAGCAGTTCAGCATCTTCAATGTCAGAAGATGGCGAGGAAGATTTCACAGCGACTGAAAATGTACACAACATATCATTAAAAAAAATTTCAAAATGCTATAAAAATGTAAACAATTGCACATTTCAATAATATTTCAAATACCGGTATTAATGATAATTACCTGAAACATTTGGTTTGACTTTAGATGGAGAAGCTATCTTTGACAAGCGTTTAGCTACAATGTGAGGTGGCAGGTTACTATCCACTAATTTGGCTGTTTTTACTGGAGAAATCTTCTTCTTTAACTTTGAAGCATGTCTTTCCTCTAATTCTCTGCATTTTTGCTGCAATGCACGCCTTCCAGCTGGGAAACTTTCCAAGTAGATCTGAATTAAACCAGAAATCACCTTTATTAACTCTCACAGAGAGTATAATCCATCAAAATAACTAAAAAACATGCATATTTTTTGCAAAACATAATTCCGGAAGGAGCTTTTTACTAAAAATATGACTAAATAAGGAAAATATCATTGTCATCACACTCTGACTGTGGTGAGTTTTATTTATTGTTGACATAAAAAAATATAGTGGGGGCTGAAATCTAAAGGAAAACAATAACACATACAGTTTGTCTGTTACTATATGAATAAAGTAATTGCTTTTTGGTGTCTCCTAGTGGTGTGTTGGGGTAGGCGCCCTCTCTCACGGAACTCTTCAGCAACCCCTTGGCCATGTTTGAACACTTGAAGATGACCTCCCAAGTGCCTGTCATATTTACTCTAGGCACCCTGTTCATATTCAAGCCTAGCTGCCAATAGATGATTTAGTGTGAATTTTCAGGATCACACATAGATGTAATGCATTAATTGATGATATAATCCGGTATAATTTGACCAGATATTTTACACACTAAAACAATAGAGGAGTTATTTATCAATAAATATGTGTTAGTGCTTTAATTCTACTTTCACTTTCGATTATGCTGCACAGGCCTATTCCAACAGTCTATGACACACGAGCAATTAAATTTCAATTTATTTTAACATAATTATAATACAAGCATAGCAAATTGCACAAGAAATGGAAAGTAAACTTACTTTAAAAGAAAACTGCAGAATGTCAACAGTTTTCGCGGAATTATTTGCGAATTCCAATTACGAGTAGAATAATCCGTATATAAGTAAATTAGTCCTTGCAGAACTTTAATATAATTATATCACAATGAATAAAAGCAGAAATAATAGAAAAATGCACTGAACAAGTGATTTTGAATGGTTTGAAAATATTGCCGATTTGACCTAGATAAAGAAAAACATGGAATATAGCGTGAAAATTGAACGCCGGATTGAGACATGTAACGGCCTTATAAGGCAAGTGCAGGTGCTTGAGACGGTGAATATGAAAAGACAAACCTTTATCCGAGAATCTATAATTGATGAAGTATGTCGAATTGAGTTAATTATGACGATTGCGCCAAAAATATAATCCGAGACATTCTGTGTAGAATTCAAGATGGCGGATAATTGAGCTGGGAGAAGTGGTCAATGATTGTGTGAGTAGTTAAATGATTGGATAAAAACATTGGAAAGTTGGAACACTTGGGTCTAAACATGGAACGATTGACCAATGAGATGATTGGATTGTTCTAAGTTTCTTGGACTTTTTACCTCGAAGATCAGCTTGTCGCCTGCGGGCGCAAGGATGACACGCAAATTCGTGAAGCGTTCCATATTTTTTGTCACATTATTATTATTGTAATATATTATTTTCCTTTAATTGTGCCTACTGGCGACCGTGTAATGACAGGCATATCAACTCAGGCAACTCTGCGAGCAGTTGGCATTCTCTTTAGCATACACCTGAAAGAAAGGGAAGATAAATGCAATGCTATATTAGTGGATTAGTTAATGTATGAATAGGCATATAAAGCACACCACATGTGATTACATAAACAAACCAGACAGAAACAGACTTAATTTCTACAACAGCACTCTAGTGATAATTATGCCATTTTGCTATTGAGTTCAATGCTGATAATGGTGTAGATGTAATTTATTAATCCCTTATTACAGGAACATCAGAAATAAGTCTCATTGACTCATTGTTTGTTCCACTGCACGGAAATCTTTAGTAAAAGGCGAAAGATTTATTCGTGACTATGAAGTGAAACCAGAGTTGGTGTGATGGTCGTTTTTCAGACTTAAATATATGGCCACAATATTGACTAGTGAGCGGGTTAATAGTAAAAAGGCTATAAATGGCATTTAAACAATAAGAGGAAGATTTCAAATGCAAAAGATTATCATATCTGTTAACCATTTTGATAAACATGAGCGAAAAAGAATCAGACACAGTCTGGCGTGTCGATGGGCGTTAACCCATCCAACACACTAAAGGTGTTCTGGGTAGTTATCGGGGGTACGTCGCCCTTTTTAGTCGGCGACCCCCGAGAACTCCAGGACCCTCTCCTTTTCTGAGGGGGGAAAACCTCTCGAAACGAGTCGTCTTCCACCTCAGACGAATTACCATTAATTATTCTTTTCTCACCTCTCGCCTCCTTTCCATCTTCCATAACATCATCGTCATTGTCAACATCACTCTCGCTTTCAAAATCAGCTGAAATATCCGCCTTGGAACCTTCTCCATCCTCTGAATCGTCCGTTCGTTTGTTGTCATTCGTCTTATCAACTTGTACCTCCGTCGTCTTCTTTGGTGTTTCCTTGGCAACACTCTCCTCACCCGTTTTGGACTGAAAAGTTCTACTAGTAGCATTAGAATATGATCTCACACAGTTACGTTGGAGATGCCCCACTTGCGAACATCTCAAGCATAAGGGTGGTCTACCAAATATAGTTATCAACACAGCAAGACCATCCTCAAACTTCAGTAAATGAGGGATGGACTGCCTCTCCACCTCGGTTACCTCTAGGGTAACCTCCCTTATTCCATTCTCAATTCTTACTCCTTTACTAAAAAAGGATAATCTCTTTACATCAAGAACTTTGCCGTAAGAACCTAAAAGATTATGCACAACGGCATCGTTAAAATACAATGGCAGCCAATGTAGTCTTAACTTCAAGATTTGTTTGCCCAATGCAACCATGTGGACCGGACGGTCCTGAAAAATAAGAGGGTTACCTCTCAGCTTCTGTAAGTGCTCCTCTTTGTAGAAAGTCACGGCAGCATTAGAAGAAGTGTAGGAAGAAATTTGTCAATTTGAAAGTGGAAATAAATACTATTAAATAGCCAAATATATCAGAATAACTGTTTTTGCATTTTTTTAAGAAATAAATACAGCTGAGTGTTTGAAATTTATAAATAATGCTAACAATTATTAATTGTCACTCAGTCTTTGACTTTTTTTGAGCTGTAAGCTGCCTACACCTCTCCCTCCAATCAGACTCTGTCTCTGTAGATGTCTCTTCACACCACCAGTATCCTGAAAACTGCTTGTGAGTCTGATTGGATCTGACCTTGCCACACTTCTTGCATGTGTAGGCTTGTGTTGGTCTTCTTCTAGTGTTTAGCCTAACACATTCTCCTGCCGTTTTCTTCTGTAGTTGCTTCCTTTGGTACCAAAGTGTGCTTTTTGGCAGGTCTGGATACTGGGAAACAAAAGTTGGAGATAGTTTCTCAACAGGCCTTTTCGTGACTGGTTTCCTAGCTCCACCAGTTCCAGCCGTAATAGGGGGAAGAACAAATTCGTGCGCATGAGATGGAGGAATGGGAGCTTTAAGCATTGGCAAAGGCTTTGGTCGTAGAGGGGGGAGTGTCCTTGTAGCAGTCATTGGTGGCAGGGGTAAAGAAATACCTTGCTCGAGAATGCGAATACCTTCGGCAGCAGTCTTCTTCTGGTCAAAAGTACCAAGAGTTTTCTGGTTGATTTCAAGAAGCATGATGTTCGTGTTGTCCATGATAAAGGAGTTCTCCACTATTTTCCTTCGAATGTCCTTGTAAAGTTGACACACAACAGAATACCTCTGAATTGTCTTGGACTTGAGTTTGATTGGAGACTGTACTGCTGAAAGGAGCTTGGTGATCAGAACCTTCATGTACCTGTTGGCATCTGGCCACTGAGCTGGTCCTGAACCCGAGCCTAAGAAACATCTGAAAGAATGGCATATATTATGTTAATAACCAGTATGAAGGCACTAAATTAATAATTATTGACTGAAAGCATTTATAAGAAATAAACATTTACTTTAATTACATCACAAATTAATAATATTTATTTTACTACTAAATGAAGAGATAAATCAGCTTGAGAATTTAAGTATACCTTTTAGCACTGTCAATTCCTGGAGTGACTGCTGTTTTACGTGTCGATCGAAATCTTCCCTTCTGTAATGATGATTGAAAGCGGGGAGATAACCTCGACCCTTGTTTGTCAAATTCGTAGAGATCATTCCACAGATGTACCACATGCTTGGCCTGTTTGTTAGTCAGGGACTGAACCTGCTCCCTTATGCTGAAAAGGTATTCTGCCAATGTCTCTACTCTGTCATAGCCGGGAATGTTGTCTTGATCAAGTGTTTCCTGTAAAATAACATAATGAGATAAGTGAGACCTCGCGCTTAAGTGTAACAATATGCAAAGATATTCCTCATTTCAATAATGCAATACATTGTATCATATAAAGAAAATACAACTTACATCATCAGGGTCTATACTTGAATTGGTTCCCTTCGATGAGTCGTCAGTTATTGAAGATGAAGTAGAAGCTGAGGTAGATGGGCTAGGTCCATAAATCTTTGACTCACCGGGAGCTCTAGTCTGTGGTTGATTGCTGTCGGACAACTGCTCAACATCGACAAGCGGGACTGTCATGTCCTCCACCTCTACCTCCTCAAAACCCTCATCAATCTGGTCATCAATGGCATCAAGCTGGGTCTCTACCTGGTCACTGTCTAAAGAATCTGGATCCAAGGAGAACTCCTGCAAGGCCCTGCCAGTCTGATCATACAAGTACTCCACACCAATCAGCTCACCTGTATATTTCCTAGGTGGTTGATATTCTGGTATGATTTTCTTATGTAGGACTTTGTGGCTTATGTCGTTGGCAGCATGCCTAAGAATTCCACTGTAGCTTGAAGGTCCTGGCATGTAGTCTTTGACAGTCTGTCTAGCACGGTCTTCATTCCATCTCACAATACCGTCAAGAAGGTATGCTTGAAACAAGACGTCTGACGCAGTGGAACCTATTTTTAAAGAAAAGAACTATTCTTTACAATACAAGTGTAATAATAGATGTATGCAAAAACAATTCATTTCAAAAATAACAAATAGTTTAAGCAAATAAAATTATTTCTTATTATAGGATTATATTTAAAAATAATTCATTTACCTGGGATAAATCTGGCAAGGTGTAAGTGAAATGACTCCAAAGATGTTGATCCTCGAGCACATCGCAACGTAGGAAGAATTTCGGAGCCTTTCTTCAACGTCCCTGTCTCTGTATAAAGGCTATGGTGACTTGGATCTTGAATACAAACAACATGCCTTTTCTGGGATTCCCACTCGTTGAAAATCTTCTCTTTATGGAGGAGAGGAAACCCCATGGTATCAAGACCCTGGTCTCCAGTAAAAGCCTCTATGAGTTCGCTTATCATTGATTCTCCACTAAACACTCAAATTAGGATATACGTAAAAGTAAAAAAACGACCTCCGCAAATTGCGACTTAGATACTTTATTTCGTAGGTTCAACTTATGTATAACATAAAACGCATACTGGTTCTTCTAACATTTCACAAAAAAACCTTGTTATTTATAATGAAATTATGTCACCGAAAATTAAAGTGCCGTGTTAAACAGATACGTTACCAATAATTTGCTGACTTTGAGCGGTTAGATAGATTAAATAAGCCTTAATATACGTGATTTAACAATCTACAAATATTCTTTTAACAATTTAGCGCTAATATATCATACATTATAATATACAATTATGCAATTTCAAGTAACCATCTCGATATAAGCAATCGCGTGAATTTGTGTCTAAAAATGTTATACTTTTTAATCAAACTCGGATATTCTAAATATAATACTTATTAACAAATGTAATGTAAATCAGTTACAATATCAGCGTAACATACAGGAATTGTAACTTAATATAACAATGATTTAGTCTGATATATAAAAGTTTACAACACAGTGAAAACGAAAATCAAATCTTTGTAACGTATCTGTTTAACCAATCCATGTAGAACACATTTTTAAAATAGCATAAATATAAACAGGAAACTCGTTTATTGCTAAAACAGAAATGAAAACTTGACAAAATGCCTAATACATTAATTTTCAATTGAACAAAACTCAAAAATATTATTTACAGTAATAGTAACGTATCTGTTGTTTGCAGATTTAGATTTAAACTTTCAAAGAACTATATAATTCTGTTAAACGTTATAATCATGAAACAATAACTATAAGAACATGTTGAACAATAAAATCGCCGACCAAAATTTTTTAACAAACTATTTCAGTCCTTAACATCAAATACAATGTTATTTTGTGTAATGGTAACGTATCTGTTGGATACTTGTATTTTGTCCTCATTTATTATTGAACTTATCATTAATATGATGAACTGTACTTTCATCAAGTACATAGGCTCTTTTCGATCTACCGACAGCTAAAGGAGCTGCTATTTTACAAATTATACTTTCCTTAGGAACCCAAAGATCGTCACAGGGCTCTGGCCATTTATAAGTTATGCCTGTTTTACCAACACTCTCAGTCATGAAACTTATGTGAACTTCACCATCACTGTCGTCCATATCCATAATATTTCCAATGTACCACCTTTTATTGTAAGTTGCAGCGACGAATGTGCCTATTTCAAAATCTTGCTCTAAGGATTCCACCTCGGTACTTGTTTTTGGTTCTGCTTCGGGGTCATTAAGCATTATTTCGCCTGTTTAAAAGAAGACATAACAAATCATGAAAATCACCGTAACATCAGCTAATGTTATCATATTTAATTTTACATTTTCCTATTTCATGTCAGATTTGCAAATATATTATAAGTATTATAATGTATTAAAATGTTATAAAGTAATTTTAAGTAGATTGCAATAAAATAGAAAACAGATATGCATTTAAACAAACTATAGGTTATGCATTTATATATATTTAATGTATGTATGTAAAGATGAATTATAATATTTATAAAACAGAAGAAACTGCATGCCTTTTTAACAAAATCTAGCCAAATAAATTATTCAAATTTCTTTATATTATTTTGATATGATCGCTATTATAAAACATATGAAATGCAAAATTATACCTGACTGTTTGACATTTGATGCTTGTTCGATTTCTATCAGTTGGTGTTTGCTCCAACTATCACACAATGAACCACCCAAGCACTGTTGACAGTAACGGGACACTTCACGGGTGTACAGTGAATAGCTGTCAGAAGGTACTACGGCGTGTAATCTCATGGTGCCCGAAACCGGGCCTGTATGTCTCTCTTTTATCAAAGCGTCAGCTGTGTCATAGTCTTCTTGCGAGTAAAAGACATATTTAATTTTCTTCTCGTGAGTTGATGCCCAATCAAAGAACTCAGTAGCATCTTGTATTGAAACCTTTCCCTGCTTAATTGCATCTGACGCTTGTCGCTTTGCTGCGCCACCAATTCCGTCACAAGGACCCTTTCCGTGTCCACTTTCAAAATAATTCCACACCGCCTTTATACCAAACATGGACTCGTGTCGGCACAATATATCAAATATATATCGGTTGCGGTATTGTGATGTCGGCGAGTCCGTCCAGTAATGGATTTTTGTCAGTGTTGGTAAATTAGCCTTAAGTAAGGGAACCAACTTTTGAATGATAGCCACGACGGCCCGAGAGTTATGTTGGTTTACGTCAGATACAAAAACATAATTGCTGTGCTCAATGATACCATTTGTTAATTTCCTGTGCGCCACAACCGGGTGTAAAGTTACATTAGTACAGTTCCAATATGCGCTCTGTATTTCGTCTGCTGTCTGGCAAGCCAAGTTTTCAGCAAAGTCCATTTGCACTACCACCTCATTAATTGGGAGTTTTGCTTTTAGTTCAGCAGCGGATCTGTATTGATGGCGCACTCGGTCAACATGCTGCAAAAATAACTCAAACTGTTTCATTGTAGATTCAATATAGTCTTGTCGTTTAACAGTTGTTTTTACAATTCGCATACGATTTTTCCCATCTTTGCATAGAACTCTCTGCCAGGATTCAAACTCAACATCATCATCAGTTATACTGGATAGCAATGTTTTCATTTGACCTTCATTGACGGCTTTGCTGACAACCTCAGGGTTTGGACTAATGTTAACGTTAACAGATCTCAATGACTTTAACTTCAAGGCCATGTTTTGATGAGTTGTGCAGAGGCATGTATTGCGCGAAATCAAACAAGTCAGTTTAACATGACGAGGTCGCAGTTTACAAAACTGAGACAGTGAGCACTTCGAACCGGGTGATTCAGCACAAAATTTCTCGTGCAGATTGGACAGATAATCATTTAGGATACGAACTTGCTTCTTTTCGCCGTTATTACTTTTTGTAACATCCTGTTTACCTGGCATGCAGCGGCTAACATCGTCTCTTTCATAAAAAGATTCAACTTTCTCCTTTAACTGACACCTCTGTTTCATATTTCTGAATCGTTTAGTAAATTCCACCCTTTTCTCATTGTAATTCTTAGCACATACACTGACTCCGGTTTTCTTCTTAAGCAAATCCAAACATCTGTACTTTTTCACAATTCTGCCGCTAAATACCTTCTTTATTAGTCTACGTTTAGATTATTCCCGGTTTTGCTGAACAACATCTTGTATTTCGGCGCATACTGCATTTCCCATTACAAGTTTTCTGACAATAGATTTTGGTAATGACCTTGGTGTCATTCCTGCTTCTCTTATATCATTATGTGCTTTGCTCTTAGGAGTTAAATTTTCACTTCTTTTGGCTTCATCTATTTCAATCATTTTATTTTTCACTTCCAGCATTCGTTGGCAACGTTTCTTGTATTTCCATGTTTCTTTTTGCAATTTATTATAGTTTTGTTTTAATGTCTGCACTTCAGATCTGGCTGCTACTAAAGCTGTTCTACGCCTTTTCTTTGATGAACTGCTACTTTGCCTTCTGTTAAAGTCAAATTTCACTAACATTGCGTCAGGTGTGTTATTTGATCGTGTAATGTTTTGTTGTGAAACATTACAGGTAATCATATGTTCATTGCTAGTAGAATTGCTGACATAAGATGATTGCAGTTGGGCGGGACTTTCTTGACTTTTGCGTTGCAATTTTGTTTTCATTTCTTTTATCTTTGCCCTATATTTAGCACAATACCTTTTTTCGGCTTCATTTGTCGTCTTTCTTTCTTTAGGTTTCAGGAAAGCTGCTGGCGTCCTGTATTGCTTTTGTCGCTTTCTTTCATTTTCAAGAAAGTTGTTGTTTAACTGTTTCTTTCTTTCTCTATATTGGCGCTGTATTTCTGCCCTTGATTTTGCCATTTTTTCTGTAATGAAAAATACAAAATTGCCTAAAAATATACGTAATAATAATAAAAAATACATTTGTTTACTACTTAATACTATATATTGAAAATTATGCTCAATAAAATTCAAATATATTTTTAAACAGATACGTTACTATGATAAACAGATACGTTACCGAGAAATTTACATACCTCTACAATTTATTTATTTAAGAAAATCTATGTCATAAAATAATATAAACAAATATTTATTTCAGAACCAAAAATAGCAAATTAAATTTTTTTTTTTTTAGATAATTTTCTTAAAAAGAAATGTTAAAAATCAACTTACCATTGAAATTTGAATCCAATGTTTTCGTCAGTTCATATTTTTCAACTTGCAAACAAAATGGCGATGACAACGTCACCAAGCAAATATCATCGTGGTATGACGTCATTTTAGATGACATCATTTCAAAATCGCGCGAAACCATCAATTACGCAGCTATTAGTAAAAAACGGTAACGTATCTGTTGGTAACGTATCTGTTAGCCAAAAAATTAAACCCATCATTTATCACTTTACATTTGTCAGATTATTTGATATAACGCAATTTTGTGAAGAATATGTTTGACTTCCGAGTCTAAGCTACCCTAATTATATGCAATAATTTGGGTAAACGATACTCAATGGGAAATAATGGTAACGTATCTGTTTAACTTAATATTCCACGTTTCCTAGACTTTGAGCAGTTATTGCGGCTTTTGCAAAACTGTTATCGTGAAATAAACTTCTGCATGGTGTAATATGACATTTTACAGTTAAGATCGCAAACAATTAATAAGATGTTTAATCATGGAATAATTTTTTAATTTTTTATGAAGTTTGGTAACGTATCTGTTCCGTGTTTGAGGGACACGATTTCTGGCAAGATATTTTTTTTTAATTCACTTATATTGAATATTAGAATTTGATTATCTGGAAATCTTATCTAAAATCTAATGATTTAAAATACTTTTTACTATTCAATCCTTGTGAATAAAAAGTAAAACCAAAAGCAAAAAGTGGAGCAGGACTGGGGACAGAGGGAAAAAGGTTTACAAAGCATATTTGCATGTCAATATTTTGTATATGTCGACGCAACTAGACCATTATATAAATTCTTTCCGTACAGGAAAATGTTATGATGCAATAAAGAGACCAAAAAGTAGTTTCCAACTATAGAGCACGGAAATATACCCAAGGGACAGATTTTTTCAAATTTTCCACATTTAGTGGAGAATCAATGTTATGAGCCTCGTGGTCTCTTCTACACCACGTGTCTGGCGACGACAATGTAAAGCGAGTTCCCTCTTTGAAAGATACCGCAAGACATCCGAGTCGTCTCTCACAGGCACATTCTTGGCAAGGAGTTCGGAACGCTTTGCATCTCTTAGGCGCTGGAGGTCCTCCGAACTCCACTCAAAAATACACTTGGACAGTCGTGACATGAAGATGCCATACAGCTGATGGGAATCCGTGGTACAGCAGGAAGAGAAACGCCGCATAAAATGCCAAATGTCAAGACGTACCTGAAGATCGGGCCATGCTGAAAACATTTTGTGGATGGTGCTCTCCCCACAACAGTCCCTGTCTACATACAGCACTTTTGGTGGCGAAAGACCTGCGTTGGCATAGCGACTGATCAGACCATTCACCATTGGTTTAACACCATGTCCCTCACCAGCTGTAATGACCGATATCAATACCTGTCCATCTTCGTTGCCAACATTTGTCGCCCACGCTGCAGTATTTGCACTTAAGCCCGCCAACTTCTGGGCTACCTAAAATCGAGTTAATTTCATGATATAAATTGCAATTTTATTTCTATCTAAACAATAAATAAAGGAATCATTCACATTTCATAATTACATTACTGTTTTATCTGTATTATGAATGTATATATTATTAAAAAAAATACCTTTTTGGTAGAATCCATCTTTAGAACATCACCAAAGGTGGAAGTGATGGCCGCCTTAACTTCATCAGCTCTCAACAACACGTTCTGACAGTAAACAAGCTGATACCAGGCATACTTTGGTGTCGGAGGCTGTGGCGGTGGCTCACCAAAGTAGGCAGTGGAGATCAAACCCTTAGAGATGGCATTCCTATAGGCCTCACAAGCAGACAGGTAGTGAATCGACTTCTGAAGCCAGGTCTCACTATGTTGTCCTTCCATTTTCCTCTGAAGCTTAGTGGGACTGTTCCTGAGTCCACGCTGCAGCAACATTGTAATTACCCTCATGTCACACGCATATCTGTAAAAAACATACATAATGATGACAATTCTTAGTCAATATATGTAAATAACATTTCGCATCATAGAAATCATTGTTAAACAGTTTTTGTATTAATATTGTTTAATAATTTAACATCAAACATACATCAATATAGGTAAAAATGGTCTTACTTAAAAAAAATGTATCAAAAGCTCATCTTACCTGTATGTTAAAATGGCTGGGAACTGGTAGCGATGACCAATATCAAGCTGGCTTAGGATAGTCTGGCTCCACCCAATATACTTCTTTCCGCAAGTAAGACACTCTAGATATTCTGTAACAAGATTGTAATAGTCACAGATATCTAGAACTTGTCTTACTCTTGGGTAGATACATCCAAAGTTGAAGATTGTCCGTCTTTAGCTCAATCTTCTTCTCCGCCGTACTTTTAGCCGGGTACCTAAACAGCGCCTTGGAAATCCAGGCATGGTCTGCTGATGCCAAAGTGTCACGCCAACCATCAGGCAGGGGATTTTCTAAAATCACGAAATATCATGTAAATGCTCAAAATAAAATATGTTTGTTCAAATATAGACTATTATATATTTTTGCAATAATATTAACTGTAATATAACACCTTGCGGTATGCCTTAAGATATAAATAATGATATCTGTACATGAAAATGGTTTCATTCCAGGAAAATTTAAGTTATAATCTTAACTCACAGTTAAATATCAATGATTAGTATGGCTGTTTGTTAGTTTACAACATCTTAAAATCTTTGTGTTAAAATTATCAGTGAGCTAAAGGTATTAATATGTAGAATATCAGATATAATGGATATAACATAGGGGTGAGTGCATGTCAACAGTAAAGCATAATTATATAAGAAAGTAAAGGCAATACACAATAAAGAAAAGAAAATATATATATTTTCTGCTAGACTACAAGAGATGCTACAACACCCAACACCACATGCTTACCATTCAAATTAGCATTGTCTGCATCCCTAATAATAATTAAAAGAATCAATTTTTAATCAACATATATTACCATTAGCAGATTTTAATTATCTTTCAACTAGGGAATAGCTCAAATCATTTAACTAACATACTAATTCAGTCGGTCAGTCTACCGAAGAAATGATATTGTGCGATAGAATGTTTATTTACAATTAAAATCAATAACTGGAAAGCATCCGGACAAAATCTTTCTTAATAAGAGTAAACGCAAAAGAAAATACAGTATAAAACATATACATACCTGGCTGCACTGATATATTTGACCTCAGCTGAGACAACGTCTTTACAGTTACCGGTTCTTTAATAGGAGATGACAACGCCTGAGTACACTTCTGGTCCTTTTCGGATGTTGACTGTTCGGGATCCAGTGTCGACTCCATTGACTTGCCGATTTCAACCAGTTCAGCATCTTCAATGTCAGAAGATGGCGAGGAAGATTTCACAGCGACTGAAAATGTACACAACATATCATTAAAAAAAATTTCAAAATGCTATAAAAATGTAAACAATTGCACATTTCAATAATATTTCAAATACCGGTATTAATTTGTTATTTACCTGATGTAGCAGAAACATTTGGTTTGACTTTAGATGGAGAAGCTATCTTTGACAAGCGTTTAGCTACAATGTGAGGTGGCAGGTTACTATCCACTAATTTGGCTGTTTTTACTGGAGAAATCTTCTTCTTTAACTTTGAAGCATGTCTTTCCTCTAATTCTCTGCATTTTTGCTGCAATGCACGCCTTCCAGCTGGGAAACTTTCCAAGTAGATCTGAATTAAACCAGAAATCACCTTTATTAACTCTCACAGAGAGTATAATCCATCAAAATAACTAAAAAACATGCATATTTTTTGCAAAACACAATTCCGGAAGTAGCTTTTTACTATAAGTATGACTAAATAAGGAAAATATCATTGTCATCACACACTGGCTGTGATGAGTTTAATTTATAGTTGACATATAGTGGGGGCTGAAATCTAAAGGAAAACAATAACACATATAGTTTGTCTGTTACTATATGAATAAAGTATTAATTACCTTTAGTTGCTTTTTGGTGTCTCCTAGTGGTGTGTCAGGGTAGGAGCCCTCTCTCATGGAACTCGCCACTATGAATGTCACATAACCAATGTCGTTTTCCGCAAGCCAGTGAAAAGTTTGTCCACAATACTTGCCAAGTTGGAACTTGTACTGACCTCTTATGTCAAATAAACTTGGGTCATTGAGTCCTTGCTGCTTTAACTCCTGGACAGCATTGTTGTGTACCTCTTCCTGGCATAGGGCAGTTGGTCTTGAGCGTTTCGCGATAGCTTCAGCAACCCCCTTGGCCGTGTTTGAACACTTGAAGATGACCTCCCCAGTGCCTGTCATATTTACTCTAGGTACCTTGTTCATATTCAAACCTGCCAATAGATGATTTAGTGTGAATTTTCAGGATCACACATAGATGTAATGCATAAATTGATGATATAATCCGGTATAATTTGACCAGATATTTTACACACTTAAACAATACTGTAGAGGAGTTATTTATCAATAAATATGTCTTAGTGCTTTAATTCTACTTTCACTTTCGATTTTCCTGCACAGGCCTATTCCAGCAGTTTATGACACACGAGCTATTAATTTTTTATTTATTTTAACATATAATTATACTACAAGTATAGCAAATTGCACAAGAAATGGAAATGAACTTACTTTGAAATAAAACTGCAAAATGTCAACAGTTTTCGCGGAATTATTTGCAAATTCCAATTTCCAGTATAATAATCCGTATATAAGTAAATAAATCCTTGCAGACGTTTAATATAATTATATCACAATGAATAAAAGCAGAAACAATATAAAAATGCACTGAACAAGTGATTTTGAATGGTTTGAAAATATTGCCGATTTGACCTAGATGAAGAAAAACATGGAATATAGCGGGAAAATTGAGCGTCGGTTTGAGACATGTAACGGCCTTATAAGGCAAAAGCAGGTACTTGAGACGGTCGATATGAAAAGACAAACCTATATCGGAGAATCGATAATTGATGAAGTATGTCAAATTGAGTTAATTATGTTGATTGCGCCAAAAATATAATCCGAGTCATTCTGTGTAGAATTCAAGATGGCGGAAACTTGAGACTGAAAATGATGCTTGGAGAAGTGGTCACGTGGTGAAGTTGGAGGTGTTTAGCGATTGGTTAAAAACATGGGAAAGATGGAACTCTTGGATCGAAACATGGAACGTTTGACCAATGAGATGAGTGGATTGTTCCAAGTTTCTTGGACTTTTTACCTCGAAGATCAGCTTGTCGCCTGCGCAAGGATGACACGCAAATTCGTGAAGCGTTCCATATTTTTTTCACCTTATTATTATTGTAATATATTATTTTCCTTTCATTGTGCTTACTGGCGACCGTGTAATGACAGGCATATCAACTCAGGCAACTCTGCGAGCAGTCGGCATTCTCTTTAGCATACACCTGAAAGAAAGTGAAGATAAATGCCATGCTATATTAGCGGATTAGTTAATGTATGAATAGGCATATAAAGCACACCACATGTGATTACATAAACAAACCAGACAGAAACAGACGTAATTTCTACAACAGTACTCTAGTGATAATTATGCCATTTTGCTATTCAGTTCAACACTGATAATGGTCTAGATGTAATTTATTAATCCCTTATTACAGGGACATCAGAAATAAGTCTATAGACTCATTGTTTGTTCCACTGCACGGAAATCTTTAGTAAATTTTTTTTTGTTTTTCATAAAATTTTATTTCATATATATATGTACAAATAAAAACCCCATGTGTAAAGCACAAGGGGACATGACCATTTATAAGAGAATTAATATTAAACACTTAACGCGCTCGCACTTATCATAAAAAGTAATTCACTAAATGTTCACACAATTCACTAAATGTTCACACAATTCACTGAAAGTTCATAGTCCATGATGTTTCCAATGTCCATGATGATCGAAATGTTCATAGTCCATAGTGATAATAAACACTTGTGCGAGAAAACAATACAAATATATAAATTAATAATTAATTAATGGTCATGTTTACAATAAAACACAGAAAGATCTATTGGAGTTGTTTATGTATTTTTTGAAAAAGAAACTCCGGTAACATGATCGCAACACCCCGCGAAGTATGTCGGAACAAAAACATTCATCCCGGGAAATTGCGAAAATGAACAGGAGATTTTAAAATCTAAAAACATCTTTATCAAAACAAAGTGATAAGAATCAAAATCAAAAATAAATTACTGATTCACATAGTTCATGTAGTTTTCCGTTTTAAACAAACTCCAATCTTAATAAAGAAGACATAATTTCCACATAAAAAGACACTGTTCTTTAACCTGAAACGAAACAAACAGACTAAATATACTGCATTCAAGAAATAAAATATATGATTCTAAATGCGTGAAATGAAACAATGATTCCAGACTGGATTACATAAAATATGACTTGTGTTTGATAATGATCTTATAATGATTGAAATGAAGCAATGATTCCCGAAACTGGGTTACATTAATTCATGAAAAGTGATTGAAATGGAAAAGACTCATGTATGATACAAAATATATACATACCAACTATATATGAAAAAACAAAGTACTGTTCCGTTATACTACCCAATTATACACCTGAAATATATACAATAATAGACTGAAATATATGTTTTACAGAAATTTAGTATAGTGCTCAGTATATAGGTTTTTGTTAAAAGATACATCATCCGCGTTTAAAGTGCAAATATCATGTTGACTCCAACAATTAATAAAATCTAAAGACGACAATCTTTTAAAATCTAAGATAATTCTTAATCTTAACAATGAGAAAAATTTATCCAAAGTAACTCGTTTAGTTGCACTTCTCTTATTATACACTTTTTGAGATCTAAAGAACCAAATAACATGCCTTGAAATTGAGAGAATAACCATACACGTATAAGTTAGTTCTTTACTTAGATAAGGTAAATCAAAAAAGCGGAAAGTTTTTTCTGAAAATGTTAATTTATTATTACTAATAGACCTTTCTATCTTAAACGGACTTCGTAAACGTACTTCTTAATACGGAATAATTTGGGGGATTTTCTCAAAACATAAATGCGCGGAAATAAGGTAAAATGAGCAGTACGCTAAAACTGTGATGCAGCGATTTCAACATATCAACATATAAAAGATGGAGCCAATATAACCATAATTTATATAAAGACAAAAAAAGAAGAAGTAAAACAAGTTTCTTAATTCATAGACTTTATTGTAGTGCTAATTTTTCAACCAAAGTCCAACATGCCATTAAATTTTGAGTGTTGTGAAAGGAGGGCTATAGATAAATGTCATCACTGCTGTCACTGCTGACGCAAAGTTCACAGAGTACTTTTGGATTTTTTTTGAAAGGGGGGGGGGTTCCGGTAGAGAGCCTGATTTTCTCATATTTGATTTACAAGGGAACGCCATTCCCCCTGCGATGAGCCGGCCGATTACGTTCACCTGCCACAGCATTCGAAACAGCCGGCACTGGGTGTTGAACTTGGTCTTGAACTGCTCTCTTATCGTTATTGTTGTCAACCTGTAATTCTTTCTGACGTAGATCGTCTGCGGGCTGTGGAGCTCTATTACTTTCCCTAACATCATCTTCGTATGTATATTTGTGTAAATTTGTTACTAAAGTAAGTATAAAATGTAGTAACTCTTCAGTGTGAAATTGCACGAAATTCTTGAGCGTTAGAATTACGCAATAATAGTACATATGCTATACCGGCTAACACTAAAATAGCACGCCACCAGATTCATGTTAATTTTCATAAAAAAATTGGAAATGTATTTAAAAGTAAATTAATGTGAGATGAACATATAAAGTAATTTACATATTGCAATTGGTACTTATAATCCACGAAAATAACCAAAATGTGGTCAACATATGCAAAAGCAGCCCTTTTAATACTGCAAAATCAGTGTAACATGTAAAATATAACTTGGATCTTGAATGTTTTTACCTTTCTTAAAAGTTTAGTCCATTTTTCTCAATATTGATTTTCTAGAAATATTTTGGCTCATCTGGAGACGTGCAACTTTTAACCCTAGGTCCTCAAATGTTGCCGACTTTCTTACAATAATACCCTAGAGTGTAAAAACCTGTCCATTGCTATTATACGTGTGTTGTTAAAATTCTTGTTATGTTTGACAACAATTGTGCAACTTTTCTCTGCAACACTATACTGTTTGCATTGTATTTAGATTTTCAGAATGAACTCTAGCTGGCGAAGCCTACTTTTAGTATCACTTCCTGCAGCTTTAGTTCAATCCCTGCAATATGCTTCAGAATATATCAGCCATGCACGGTCATGTTTAGTTGCCGTAATGATGCCACCTCTACATTCTGTACTAGATGTTCGCAACCGTTTATTTTCAAATGATTCGATTATATATTCCGAAATTTTCTCAAAAAAATATGTACAATATCTATAGTCTAACTTGTAAAGCATCATTTACATTAATAGATATTTAACATATATAAACGTAGGAATTACAGTTGCCACAAACTGTCTACAGTAAATATAACTTTATTGTTTATTATGGATATGTTGTTACCCAACCCTTAATTGTAACACTTGCCACCATAGTCAATGTGTGCACCGCGTATGGACATGTTGAAATTCGTACATTTATTCGTGCATTCTATACAATATTTGTTAGTTACATTACTTGGCCAACAATAGATAAATGGTTTAGTAAACGTGGTGACTGGGATAAACTGTATCCCCCATTTGGTGCAAAAGATGGAACATCACACGAATTATTACGACCAATGGATAAGCCACAACAACAATTCTATTCTTGATACTGTCACTTCCACGCTTTATTGTGAATTCAGATGGCGACCTTTGTTTAATTCTTACACTCGAAATTTCGTTAAATTCCATCTTAAGCGTTATATACTACATATTATACATATGATGACATTTACGTTTAGTCCTGCTTCCACACCATGTACCAACACTTACTAGTATATCATGAAAACATCGCTTTTTGGTCATTGGTTGAAAAATTAACACTACAATAAAGTATATGTTTGTTTGTTTTTATTGGGTCTTTATATGAATTATGGTAACATTGTATCCATTTTTAATTTGTTGATGGTTGATAGAAATACTATAACTAGCAATATACATGTAAAAACCCGATGTATTACAGTTTTAGTTTATTTTTTTTATCATTTATGTTTTGAGAAAATCCCCAATTTATTCCGTATTACGAAGTCTGTTTACGAAGTTCGTTTAATATAGAAAGGTCTAATAAGCTTTAACAGATACAAAACAACCATATTAATTGGACGAAAGAAGTTACATTCTATGAATAAATGGGATGTAGTTTCAATTTGTTTGCAAAAGAAGCAATATTTGGTTTTCGATACAGATTTTACGAAAGATTTATAATTTACTGTTACCGCATCATGAGCCATTTTAAAACAAATATTTCTGTGACATGGATCAACTGCATTAGAGTGAATGTTTTTAAAAACATTTTTGAAGTTAATACTTGGAAAATTTCTAATACATTTAACAACACTATCTTTATCTAATAAAAATCTGTATATAACACTAGAAGGAAATTTAACGTCAAATGAAATATTCGGAAAGATATTCAAAAGAAATTTAAACGCTTTCATACAATGTTGATAAAAGATAGGAACAAATTCACTTTTAGGATAGTTATTTTTAGCTAAATCACTATTAAAGGCCCTGAGATCTAAACCTATCCAATATTTTGCGAAAAAACACCAGACTGCATCATGGTTATTAATAATTTTCTGACAATGAGTAATTAACAAAGAATACCATTTAAGTTTAATGTTAGGAATATTGAGACCACCTCTCGATAAGGTAAATATAACGTTTTTCTTGAAATAGGTTCAAAAAATGAGCTCCACAGAAATCTAAAAACAGTTTTTTGAAAAATAGTAATGTAATGATCTGGAATTACACCAGCCATTAAATAATAAAGAATATTAGAAAATGCTAACGAGTTTATAACAGTACTTTTACCTTTATAAGAAATGTTTTTATTGGTGTGCATATTTAAAACTTTAGAAAACTTCATATATATATTGTACCAAATATCATCATCACTTAAATTGTAACCAAATTTATAACCTAATAACTTATTATGTTGTACCCATGATATGCCAAAAGGATGATCCGACCTATTTTTTCCATTTCCCTAAATACATGCCGTTCGATTTTCTGTAATTAATTTTAGACCCAGAAATTCTTTCGTATAATTTAACGGTTTCAAAGAAAAGACGCATAGATTTATTATCAGTTAAAACAGCCGTATAGTCATCTGCATATAAAGACATTTTACATTCATAGGATCCTCCAGGAACAATAACACCTTTAATGTTGTTATCATTTTGAACTTTAAGGGCGAAGGGCTCAATACATAGAACATACAAAAGAGGAGATAACGAACACCCTTGTCTAATTGATCTCGACAACTTAAATGGAATAGATATATGGTTATTAACAATTACAGAAGATTCAATATCATTATACAAGGTACGTATCCAATTGATAATTATATCACTAAAACCAAACGCTTTTAAAGTTTTAAACATATAATCCCACGAAACACGGTCAAAAGCTTTTTCCTGATCAAGATTTATAAAACAAGCAGACAACTGTTTTTGCTCTACATAATCAAAAATATTTCTAATTAAATGAACATTATCGAAAATAGAACGACCTTTAATTGAACAGGTTTGATAAATACCAACTATTTTAGGCATAACTAAAGAAATACGATTAGCTAACAATTTAGATACTATTTTCCTATCAACATTTAAAAGGGATATGGGTCTATAATTTTTCATATTCGAAGGGTTATTTTTATCTTTACATAAAAGAGTAATGTATGATAATTTTTGAGAAGAAGTCATTTCACCCGATTCATATATGGTATCAAATAAACGAACAAAAATGTCACCAAATAAATGAAAAAATTTAATATAAAAAAAGGACGATAACCCATCACTGCCAGGCGAGTGCGTATGGTCCATTTCTTTAAGAGTTTTCAAAATTTCTTCTTTTGTAATAGGCCTAGATAAAAATGTATTGTCATCACTACTTACCTGTGGTAAATCATTATGGAATAAGGGACATAACTCCTCATCAATAGGTTCAGAGGAGTATAAATTCATATAAAATTCTCGAAAACTATTTAAAATATCATCTGTATTATCATAAAGAAATACCATTACTTTCAATATTTATAAATACTTTTATCAAAATTGTGTTTTTGTTCAAGGCTACAGAAATAAGATGTAGGATTTTCATTACAATTCATCATTTTAACTTTACTTCTTAATTTAGATCCCACTAACATTTCACTCTAAATTTGCTTTATTTTTAAAAGTAAATTTTGTTTTTCCTCAATATTCTCTAAGTTTTGATATGTTTTTCGAAATTTTTTAAGTCTAGTATACAGTTCTTTATTTTTATGTTTAGAATAATCAATACAAAATTCTTTTATTTTTAGTTTCATATCATCCCACCAATCAACAGTAATTTCATTAGTTCTAGATATAATATGCCAAAAATATTCAAAACCAAACATAAAGTCCTCATCGTCCAAAATAGAATTATTAAATTTCCAGTAAGATTTACCAAAAGAAATAATGTTATTTGTATTAAGTTGTAAATATATAAAATCATGATCAGATAAAGTGCACGGTAATATATCACATTCTTTTACATTATTAAGAAGAAGGGAACTTATATATATTCTATCTAATCTACATCCAACAAAACCATTAAAACATTTTCTGTACCAAGTAATTGCCCTTTTTTTAGGGAAACATTTTCTGTAACAATCTACTAATTTGAATTCATTAATAACTGTTGAAAAAACCTTTGACCCACGTTGACCTTTATCTAAATTACCCCCAATTTTATCCAATTTGGTATCAAAAACAAAATTCATGTCCCCTAATAAAATTAAGTGTTTAGACGTTACTAAATGAAATTTTAGAGATTCAAAAAATATATTTCGTTCCGATTCATCGGTAGGAGAATAAATATTAAAAATTCGAAATGACGTGTCAAAATAATTTATGTCTGCGTATATAAATCTACCATCAAAATCAGTCTCAAACTTTTCACATTTTAAAAAAGAATTTACTAAAATAATTGCAACTCCATTTCTTCTTTTAAAACCATAACTCCACAAAATTCTATTATTAAACCCTATGTTTTCTTCACATAATTTAGCGTTATAAAATGAATCTATGAAAGTTTCTTGAATACATAAAACATCGACTTTGTTACTTGATATAAAATCTTTTACATACATTTGTCTTTCTTTCGATTTAAATCCATTTATATTTATAGAATATATATTTAAATTAGCCATAATTGTAAAAGGTTAAAAATAAAGCAAAAAGTAAACGACTATCAATGTGTGTAATGACTACGACATGTATATCTAAGTTTACTCGAAAAAGGTAGAACACGGAACAGCAAAGTAAAGTATGTACACTAATTACATCTATAAGTTCAAAGTTCATACATACATAAAAGTTCAAAGTTGAGTGTATCGGCAACTCGTAAACTTTATCTGGTAACAAATATAATATAGATTTTTGAAGCCAAATACAGCGATAGCGAGTGTATATAAAGTTTAAATATCGGTGTAGTAAATTAAACAAAAGGAAGCTATATAGGCAGTTTATCAGTAAAAGTTTAAAGTTCATATAAAAGGTCAGAGTTGAAAAATTTATAAACTGAGTGTATTTAAACTCTAAATATCGGCGAAATAAATTATAGATAGACAGCGTGTTTATCTCCAGGTCAGGGTTCAAATGAAAGGTTAAAGTTAAAACATAAGATTTATCGGCTTTTTTAAGTAACAAAAATGTTATTACAAACGACATGACAATAAAAACATAACTGAGTTTCTTTATACATGTAGTATAAATACGTAAGATTATAAAATCCATGACTTATAGTTTTAAGCAACATTTTGTACAATATTATCTGGTGTGTCTATCGGAGTTAGACCATCCAGCACAGAAAAAGAATTACTTGTTGTCACCGGAGGAACACGGCCAGACTTAGGCGATGACTCCCGGGAACCCCAAGATCCTCTGCGTTTTTGCGGGGGAAAAACCTTCCTAAAAGAATCCTCACCTGTTGCAATTTCTCTTTTTTCTCCCCTAGTCTCAAGATCCATATCATCTTCTTGTTCGTCATCCTCGTCGTCGTTTTCCATATCACTATCACTATCAAAATTCGCAGAAATGTCCGTCTTGGAACCATCCTCCTCATCTTCATTCCGTACCTTTTCATTATTTGTGACATCCTTTGGAGTTGTCTCGCCTTTCTCCCCAATGTCTGTCACATCTGGGTTAGCCGGGGTGCTCTTCTCCTGAAAATTTCTCTTTGTAACGTTAGCAAATGAACCGTGAATACAATTTCTTTGAAGATGCCCTACTTGGGAACATCTGAGGCAAAGTGGAGGTCTCCCAAAGATTGTAATCAATATCGCCAGACCATCCTCAAATTTAAGCAGATGGGGAATAGACTGACGCTCAACCTCCGTTACTTCTAAAGTAACTTCCCTTATACCATTAACTATCTTCACTCCTTTATTAAAAAAGGACAATCTCTTTATGTCAATAATTTTTCCATAACTACCCAGAAATTCGTGTATAACTGCATCATTGATGTAAATAGGCATCCAATGAAGACGTAACTTTACAATCTGCTTCCCCAGTGCAACTAAATGCACTGGGTTCCCATTATAATAAAGAGATTTACCTCTAAGAAGGTTGACATTGCCAGCTTCGAAGAAGGTCAACACGTATCCATAATCTCCTGGTCTACCCGTACTAATCGACTCAACATCTTTCTCAGCAATTCCCGCTTCGCTCAACAACTTAAAAAGATCTACCATGCTGAGCCCTCTTGCCGTCACCTTCACTGTCCGGTCGACTGCACCTGCATTAAAATGCTTCTTCGATATTGAATGTAAATTAAAAACAATAGCTGCCATCTTTAACTTAGGCGAAAGATTTACTTCGTGACATTGAAGTGAAACCAGAGTTGGTCTGATTGTCGTTTTTCAGACATTAATATATGGCCACTATATTGACTAGTGAGCGGGTTAATAGTATTCACGTGAAGTTTGCATCCTCTAAGCAATATTTCAGTCCGTCTTTTCTATGTAGCTAAAATGTGGCACTCAGCATCTTATAGGCTTAAACTTACCGAAAAATGACATTTTATTGGTGTTAAGCTAGTGCACTGACGAATCTGTGACGTTTACACGCCGTCTATTGAATGCGATGCATGCTGCCTATTTGATCTCTTGATGAGGATGATGAAATATATATGCGGTTAATACGCAGACGTGTCAACTAAGTCTACTAAATAGCTATTTAAAAGTGAATATTAAACTAAATTGACCTTAACATTAAAGGAGGGCACGCAATCTTCGAGGTTTCGGTTCCAAGTTTAAAAAACGCAAAAAAGGCAAAAAAGGAAGGGTAGGGGAGGCGAAAAAAAGATTCGAACCTGGCCCCTTACTACGACCATTAAGGGCCCATAACGATTCCATCTCGCCTATTCGTTAGCAATTTAGCTATAAGAAACTATTAGACTGAAATGGCCCAAAAATGACCAAATTCTCGAGGGTGGCCTGTAAAAATTGAATACAACTTTGTCATTTATGGGCCGATTTTAATGAAATTTGGGGAATATGTTTGCAATAAATTGTTTCAAATAGTGGACTAAAAATTTTGGCCAAATATTGACAAAAACCTCCAAAATACTTTATCTAAATTAAATGAGTTTTTTCCAAATTTACCAAATAAGCTGTCCTCTATTAATAGCTACTAAAAGTTTCTAACTGTAAAAAATTGTTAAATTATCACATTTAATATGTCTGCTTTACGATCAAGAAAGAAAAAAACAATAACATGTTATACAATGCCAGAATAATATCAAAAATTACAATCACATATATAGAAATGATTAAATGGAGACATAAGTGGAATAATGGTCTAAATAGTGTCTGTATTTCATTTGAATTCATTTTAGTAGTTTATTCTTGGTCAAAAGGCAGTGACAGAACAATTTTGAATGTTTGTAGAAAATAAATATACAAATGTACTCCTAGCTGGGACTTGAACCCAGACCTTTTCTCCAAAGAGAAATGTTCTACATTAAAACTACCAGGAGAGAATATTTCTACAAACAAGTTGAATCTAATTAATTGCCCTGCCTTTAACACATAGAAGATGATATATAAAATGAATTCACTTCTTCCCTTCATTAGAAGAAATTTGTCAATTTGAAAGTGGAAATAAATACTATTAAATAGCCAAATATAATGGAATAACTGTTTTTTGCATTTTTACAATAAATAAAGGAATCATTCACATTTCATAATTACATTGATGTTTTATCTGTACTATGAATGTATATATTATTAAAAAAAATACCTTTTTGGTAGAATCCATCTTTAGAACATCACCAAAGGTGGAAGTGATGGCCGCCTTAACTTCATCAGCTCTCAACAACACGTTCTGACAGTAAACAAGCTGATACCAGGCATACTTTGGTGTCGGAGGCTGTGGCGGTGGCTCACCAAAGTAGGCAGTGGAGATCAAACCCTTAGAGATGGCATTCCTATAGGCCTCACAAGCAGACAGGTAGTGAATCGACTTCTGAAGCCAGGTCTCACTATGTTGTCCTTCCATTTTCCTCTGAAGCTTAGTGGGACTGTTCCTGAGTCCACGCTGCAGCAACATTGTAATTACCCTCATGTCACACGCATAATATCTGTAAAAACATATATGAGCCGTGTCACGACAAAACCAACAAAATGGGTTTGCGACCAGCATGGATCCAGACCAGCCTGCAAATCCGCGCAATCTGATCAGGATCCATGCTGTTCGCTATCAGTTTCTCTACTTGTTATAGGGTTTGTAAGGGAACAGCATGGGTCCTGATCAGACTGCGCGGATGCGCAGGCTGGTCTGGATCCATGCTGGTCGCAAACCCATATTGTTGGTTTTGTCATGACGCGGCTCATATAATGATGACAACTTTTAGAATATATATATAAATAACATTTCGCATCATAGAAATCATTGTTAAACAGTTTTTGTACTTATATCGTTTAAAATAATTTAACATCAAACATACATTAATATAGGTAACATAACATAGGGGTGAGTGCACGTCAACAGTAAAGCATAATTATATAAGAAAGTAAAGGCGATACACAATAAAGAAAAGATAATATATATATTTTCTGCTAGACTACAAGATATGCTACAACACCCAACACCACATGCTTACCATTCAAATTAGCATTGTCTGCATCCCTAATAATAATTAAAAGAATCAATTTTTAATCAACATATATTACCATTAGCAGCTTTTAATTATCTTTCCACTAGGGAATAGCTCAAATCATTTAATTAACATACTGATTCAGTCGGTCAGTCTACCGAAGAAATGATATTGTGCCATAGAATGTTTATTTACAATTAAAATCAATAACTGGAAAGCATCCGGACAAAATCTTTCTTAATAAGAGTAAACGCAAAAGAAAATACAGTATAAAACATATACATACCTGGCTGCACTGAAATATTTGACCTCAGCTGAGACAACGTCTTTACAGTTACCGGTTCTTTAAGAGGAGATGACAATGGCTGAGTACACTTTTGGTCCTTTTCCGATGTTGACTGTTTGAGATCCAGTGTCGACTCCATTGACTTACCGATATCAACTAGTTCATCATCTTCAATGTCAGAAGATGGCGAGGAAGATATTTCACAGCGACTGAAACTGTACACAACATATCAGTAAAAAAAATTTAAATGCTATAGAGATGAACACAATTGCACATTTCAATAATATTTCACATACCGGTATTAATTTGTTATTTACCTGATGTAGCAGAAACATTTGTTTTGACTTTAGATGGAATAGCTATCTTAGACAAGCGTTTAGCTACAATGTGAGGTGGCAGGTTACTATCAAGTAATTTGGCTGTTTTTCTTTACTGGAGAATTCTTCTTTAACTTTGAAGCATGTCTTTCCTCTAATGCTCTGCATTTTTGTTGCAATGCACGCCTTCCAGCTGGGAAACTTTCCAAGTAGATCTGAATTAAACCAGAAATCACCTTCATTAACTCTCACAGAGAGTATAATCCATCAAAATAACTAAAAAACATGCATATTTTGCAAAACATAATTCCGGAAGGAGCTTTTTACTAAAAGTATGACCAAATAAGGAAAATATCATTGTCATCACACTCTGACTGTGGTGAGTTTTATTTATTGTTGACATAAAAAAAATATAGTGGGGGCTGAAATCTAAAGGAAAACAATAACACATACAGTTTGTCTGTTACTATATGAATAAAGTAATAATTACCTTTAGTTGCTTTTTGGTGTCTCCTAGTGGTGTGTCGGGGTAGGCACCCTCTCTCATGGAACTCTTCAGCAACCCCTTGGCCATGTTTGAACACTTGAAGATGACCTCCCCAGTGCCTGTCATATTTACTCTAGGTACCTTGTTCATATTCAAACCTGCCAATAGATGATTTAGTGTGAATTTTCAGGATCACACATAGATGTAATGCATAAATTGATGATATAATCCGGTATAATTTGACCAGATATTTTACACACTTAAACAATAGAGGAGTTATTTATCAATAAATATGTCTTAGTGCTTTAATTCTA